GTGAGGGTCACCAGCCCAGGACTCTAAGGGAAGAAAAATAAAACCCAGCAACCAACCGCTCCCAGTCACTGCCCTGACATCCCGTCCGAGGAAGATGTCTGGTCCCAGCACAGCGCTGCCATTGTCACTGAAAGGTCAGTGGCCTGGCCAGCGGCGGAGGCAGGCTAGTCCTGTGAGAGTTAATCTGCCCAGCCGGTCATCATAGGGGTCACCGTGATGTGCGGAGAAGTTGAGTATCCTAGTCCCCATGGCTGGTCTGCTAATTACATTTGCAATTATAAACACCACAACCTCCCAGTGCAGGGACCAGGCCACACAAGCTGATGGGACAACTGATATAATCCTCCCCACAGGCCAGCCCAGCAGGGGACACCAGGGCCAGCTGAAGCCTATGGGGCCCACCTCCACAGAATGACCAGGTCTATGACCATTCCTCAGAGGTTGGAGTTTCCTCGGACTGAGAAAAGGGAAATTCACCTGACACAAAGCTCTTGCAAGGTCACCAGCGCAGACATGCTAAAAGGATTTATCCCTACAAATCAGTGAGGGGCCGCAGGGGCAACAGGCAGGATGATCAGGAAGCCTCGGGCTCACTGGTCTGGTTGGGGCTCATCCTCAACTTCACAGCTTCCGGAGAACATTCTGCAGACTGCACACACTCACAGCCCATGCACCCTCAGATGCTGGAAACGTGGAGGGTAAGCATTCTAGCTGAAGAAGGGTCCCCCTCAGGGTACCATTCGATCAGAGCCACCAGAATCCGAAACAGAACCTCCAGGGAAGCTGGCTGCTTTGGGGCAGGGATCGTGTCCTGCGGGAAGAACGCTTCAAGGGTCTCACAGAACACTGATGATGGCGAACAGGTGAGAGAATGAAGTGTTCAGGTGTGGGGTGGGCTTTACATTGAAGCCGGATTCAATGTCTAAATTCTTGGCTGGATTATGATCTAAATATCTGCTATTCTTTCCTGTAATTTTGCAACCAGAAGAATTTTAACCATTTTGAGGGTGTCACCTGAAGTACCTGGGAAAGTAAATTCAAAAGAAGGGTGCTGGAGAGCCAGGTCAAAAATATGCGTCCCTGCTCTGGGCGCTGCCCACTGAAATCTCTCTCCCGCACCACATTCACGCATGCGGCAGCCAAACCACCTGCCCAGGGCACAAGCTCCCTTCCCAGTCTCCCAGACTCTTGCCTTTGGGGCCAGCTAGAGTGATGCAAATCTTTGCTCAAGAGAAACAAGGCATTTTGCAGAAGACTGAAGAAGGAGATGAACTTTTTCAGTGAGTTTGGATTGGCTTTTAAAACCATTCAGCAAAATGTCCCATTACAGGAACTTGAAGGGGACATGCAGGGACAGTCACAAGAGGCCCTGAGCTAGGGCCAGGAGCACTCGGGGAAGGCAGGAGTGACATGAAATCTCTGTCACAGCTACCTCCCTTGGAGGGCTTTCCCAAAAGTCCCCTTCATCCTTTTCTTTTGGGCTAAATGGAATATTTATTGATTACTCCAAATCAACAGAATGAAAAGATTCCTATTTGGTGGGTCAGGTTGTATCATCATCTTCTTTTCTTTGGTAAAGAAACATCTTTCCATATATTTCATATATTCTAATAACTGATAAAATAGAGGATTATTTCTAAAATGAAGGGAGGTGGAGGAAATAATCAGCTCCAAAAGGAAATTTCCAGGGATGTCAGGATCTCACTGAGCTGGAAAGGACCTTAGCCGGGAATGAGCCCTGCGACGCTGACCAAATATTTTCTCCACTTTGAGCCCTAGGGCTCAGTGACTCTCACCTGCTATCCCCCACCCTCTTCTCCAGCCACCCACACCTGCCGAAGGGTGACCGACACAGAAAGGCTTATTTTCTAGACCCCCTCCCTTAGAAAAACCAAGACTAATGTCCTCAATCTGATTTATTTTTAAATGTACCATTAAAAATTAATTTCCCCCTTTGTTTTTCTCTGGGTCACTGACTCTGAATTACCATGTGGCATTTTTCCTATGTGTGAACCCACATATTTTACCTGCAGGACAGTTTGTTCTTTGTTCCCTTAACGATGGCAAAATGGTCATCGGACGGTGGTACCCTCCCATGCCCCATCTTGGGTTTTGTGCCTGAGTCTCCAGCGGACCCCATCGTGGACACATTTGTACACAGGCATAGGGAGGCAAGCACGCTCACTCCTGCTTTCACTGATTATGTATGTACATAAAATATTGATCAGGAAGGGTAATGGAGTCACCTACAGGACTGGCTACAGGAAAATGAAAAGGAAGGTAAGAAAGGTAGGAAGGTGCATGTGTTGTCTCAGAGCATGTCACTTCTCACCTGGGACAGCAAGAATGACACTGAGCTTTATAAAACACCTCTTGCCAGCAAGAGGAAGGCTTCGAGGTCCTTTCTTCCTGAACTCCAGTGCGTGTGCTCCTGGGTCTCCTCAAGTCTGCGAACATCAGCTAACCTGCCTCGGTAGAAACTGTGCAGATCCCAACAATCCCCTCGTGAGTACGTTCCCAGAGAAATGTGGGCACCATAATAAATGGATTCATCCTGATCCTGCTGTCCTGCCCACTAACCAAAATGCAGCCCCCTTTTGCTACTTTGTTACTGATGGCTCTAATGCTAGCTGTTACAAAGCCTGTCACGGGGAGAGGTCAGAAAGATGCTGCCCACAGACACCAGCCTCTGACCTCTGTGAGCCCGACCTTGGCATGACGGCTCCCGCACCATGGGAAACGTAAACCCTGGCAGGGAGATACGTGTCTATTCGTGGGGCCAGCTCACTGATGCTCGGGGCTGCTGCTTAGCAGGTCCTGGGCTTTGAGAAATGCCATCCTACAGAGACACCTCATTCCCCAGTGCAGACAGCAGGTATATTTTTGGCCTTTCCTGTGTCCCATGGAATGAGAAACTAATTTTTTTTTTTTGGCAAAGAAATCAGGAAAGGTGGGAAATCCAAACCACTATCAGTTTTAGTTTAGAAATGATTTCCACTTCAACCCTGACACCCAGGACATCTGCTCCCACAACCCCTTTGCTGCCTCCCTGACATTCCCTCTTTGCCCACACTCCTCCTCAAACTCAAGTCAGGGTTCCTGTCCACCCCCGAAATACCCAGCTGTGGTATTTCTGTCTCTCCTGACTTTTCTGGTCAGCATGATCACAAGAATGTCCTCCCCAACCCTACATGTTTTCATACTGATTGGCTGTGACTGGAGCCAGAGACAAACAGCTATTCTGAGCTCAACTAAAGAAGTCACCTCTGAAGAGAGGGAGCCTAAATAATTTAAACATCCAATATTTGTTGGAGTTGGTAATTTCACACGAGGAGATGTCCTGCAAGCATCACTGTCCACAGCCTCCATCCCCCCTCCCCATCCCGAGGTTCCCTTGGTCTTCCACTCCCTCAGGAGGACCCTGCAAAGAGTAACCCCACCCCAGGCAAGAAGCTGGGACCAGTGTAACCTTCAAAGAGAATGAAAAGCCACTTTTCCAGCAAAGAGAAATCCGAACCCATTATAATTAAGGATCCCCCTCATCTCCTACCACACGCCTTTTTCTGACATGACAAAATGCTCAAATCTGGTGGTACCTAAAGGACCTTCCGCCTGGGGAGATCCTAAAACTAGAACCAAAAAGCTCGGCTGAGGCAGTCTGGTCAACACAAGCTCCTGCTGTGAAGTTGCCTTCTCTCCCATGCGTGGGCCACTGCTGCTGGAGGCAGTCTGGGCTGCAAGGCAGAGGGTTAGATACTTTGCGAAAACCCACATGGTCTTTATTTTATAGATGCCATCGAAGCTGCTAGATGGGGGGATGTAGTTGTGCAAATTTGAAAAGATGACGGAACCAAAGAAACACCGACTTTGGTGTTTTAGTTTGCTTCGGGGAGAAAAAAAGGAAGAGGAGCACAAAGTTAAGCAGGAAAGCAGTCGCGACAACGCAGTTGTCCGCCACAGGGATCACTCTGCAAGCGCGCACTCCAGACGCCCAGGACACTTGTCCCAGGGCGCTGTGGGATGCCGAGCGCTCCGGAGACCCGGGCAGGTACTCGGGCAGTGACCGCAGAGAGCGCTAGGCGGGAAAGCACGGGTGGCGGGCGCCGAACACGGGAAAGCCCAGGCAAGATGCCTGGGGCAGCACCCGCCACTCGGGGAATCGGTTCTCCACTTTTCCACTCCGCGCGCTCGACGCGCGCGCCGGGGCCAGGGAGCCGAGGGGCGGATGGCAAGAGCCGCGTCCTGCAGCCGCTGCCTTCGCCCTCGACTCTTCGACAACTGCAGGTTTCTGGCGACGAGCCCCCAGCCTCCCGGACAGGATACAAGTCGCGTCCGTCTGCTCCGTGCGCGCAGCCTCCCCCTAAACTCCTTACTAACTTTGGCTCCGCCGCAGCGCCGAGCAGGCTACTCAACGCGTGGCGGGGCACCGGGTCCCCGCGCAGGACGTGCAGAGCGCAGCGCGCCCCAGGCCGCGCACCCGCACCCGGGGCTCCTGGGCACCGCAGCAGCGTGCACACCCTCCGGGCGTCCCACGGGGACGCCCCGACGAGCGCGGCGGGCAGCCTACAGTTCCCCACGAGTCGCGGCGCTTTCGATTTTCTCCCCTTCGCCAAGATCGTTCTTGGACTCCAGCATGTAACTACAGGGAAGGCGCCGGCGGGGAGGCTTTCGCGGGCGGGACAGACTGCACCTGTTCTGGGCTTCCGCCTCTCCCGCACAGGAACTACAGCGTTTCTTCCCCGCGGAGCGCGACCAGAGTGGATGAGAAAACGCTGCTCTTGCCTACAAGTGAGGGCTTATAAAAGGGGGTGCGGGAAAAGTTAGAGGCGGGTGTGAGTTCGAGAGAAAAAGCCAGGACAGGTGAGGCTTTTCCCCTTCTGCGGCGCCCGAGTGCCTCGGAGGCCCCTGCCACTTCAAGAGCGTGTGGACGAGGAACTGCGACACCCGGGACAGAGACAGCCAGGTGAGCAGAAGGACAGACCGAAAAGCGAGGCACCTACTGGTTGTGGTAGCCGAGGGGATCCGGGATGCAGAGTTCGGACATGTCCATCAGTCCCGTTTTAGCATTCCCAGTTGGCGGAGAAAGGCGGCGGGCCAATCACGCGGAAGACAGTGAAGGGCACAGGCGAGTGCGAGTCCGGGCAGGGGCACCGCGAGCAGAGCGGGCGGCGGGGGAGGGAGGCCGGGAGCCGCGCGCGCACCGCCCGGCGCTCCCACTCATCCGCGCGCTGGGAGCGGAGAGAGCGGGCAGAGCGGATGTGGAGCCGCGGTGGAGGCTGGGGCGCCCGAGACTTGGAGCCTACTAACCCTACTGTAGCTTTAAGGCTGAGAGACTGATGTATGGTTTGGCTCCTATTGGCTATCTCTCGGGGGCTGGACTTAAAGTGACGGAATCGAGCCTGGGTGGGGGGAGGGGGGCAAGCCGGGAGACTTCAATGGAGTAAGACGCTCGAGGTCCCCACCTCCACAGGGGTGGGAGGGCTGGATTTCAGAGCCCTAAGGCTTGGGCTTTTGCGGATAAAAGGGGCAGAAAAGGTCCAATTGCCTGCTAGGACTGGGGGTGGGCGAGTTGCTTATCTACTCCCCCAACCCCTTCTTTTAAATGACAGGCAAACTCACCTCTCAGCCTTTTGGAACGGGTTTGTTTTCCCAATTAAAAGTGAGTCACATTTTCCCATCCTTGTACCCTTGAGAAGCGGCCTTTGACATTGACAACCTCAGACCTTGTGTTCAGAGCCCAAATGTGCAGGGGGTCAGACTGACAGGTGAGGCCCAACCAAAGAGCAGAAGAGGAATAGATTCCCGGCCGGGCTTCCCCCACCTGGGCCCGTCACTTCAGAACCACCGCTGGCATAAAGCTAGATGCAGGGCGCACATCCATCCACAAAATACTGTCTGAATGTACGAGGTGACGCGCGATTCACTCCCTGGCAACTCAGCACTGAGCCCGGGACGCAGGCACTCCGCATAAATCCCTGTCTGTTTAGGGACATGTACCCAGGTTAAAACTCCCAACTACCTGGGCACAAGCAGACACTTCCATATACACACCTGAATCCCCGGCTACAAACACACCTGCATCGCGTCGCTGCTCCCTCCATAACCCAGAGTATTATGGGCTGCCACTGTACCAAAATGAGCTATAAGTCAAGCCCCAGTCCTTCTGTGGGGCTTTTCATCTTTTGAGATGCACCCGCCACAGGGAAAATAATCAATTTGTGACTCAAACGAGTGTTGTGAGGGAGGTAGGTATAGAATTATTTAAAAGGGGGGAAGAAGCCCTCAGGAGAGACCACCACCTTATTCTCTTATATTCTACAGAAGACAATGAGCAGTAGGGGGGAAGACATAATTTTATCATCAAAATAATGTCTAAATGAAGTGTAACTGCAGGCAGTGTCATGCATTTCAGGGATAAAGCAGGGAGGGAGGTGGTGGGGCGCCCCAGGAGGGGCAGCCACTCAGGGAGGGGCTGGGGGAGTGGGCAGCAGCATGGCAGATGATGCTTGACTTGGATAAATGTCGCTGTGGGGGCTGGGGAAGGAGCAGAGATTTTTCATGTGTGTTGAAGTCGAGGAAAGCATAGATTCTTTGGCTTAGGAAGGTATCTCCCCAAGAGACAGATGAAGATGTCTGCTCTGCCAGCAGATCCCCAGCAGTGTCAGAAAAAAAAATTAATCACATAGGTAGTTTGTGAGAGCCAGAAAGAAGGGTGCATTGAGCCTGGCTTCTTTCTGCGTGACCCCATCTCTTGCCAGGACCTCAGTGACTGGTTTCTCTGCACCCGATCTGCCCTGTCCAGGTCCGTTCTCCAGGCACACAGCAGCTGGGCCCTGCTTTATAGCATGCACGGGAAACTTTCCCTTCTTGCAGTTAGTAACTAGGCCCCAGACTTGGCCTACAAGGAAGGCCTCACGTGACAGGTGTCTGTGGGTTCCTCTGAACTCCACCGGAGCCCTTGTCACACCCCTTTCAACTCATCTTTGCACCTGCCACAAAAGTCCCCACCTTTCAGATACAGCCAGGACCTCCTGCCCCTCCCTCCACTCCAGGTAGTCGAGCCCACTTTGCCATCACAGATATACGGGTATGAGCGACACTTCGCCTTCCACCTTTACCTCACTGGACAGTAAGCCCCATAAAGGGAGGGACTGTGTCTGTTCTGTTTCCCTGCAGAGTTCCCAGTACCCAGTAGGACCTGGTCCTTATTGGATGCTGGGTAGATTCTGCTGAGTGAACTTGAGACTGTAGCAGTGTAGAATCAGGGGCACAGCCAGGTGAAGGATAGGCCCAGGAATGGGCTTAGACCCTGGCAGGTCTATGGGGTCAGCTGGCTCCTTGCTTCGTGTAAGAGCCAGGAGACAGAACACACTTGGTGGAAATAAAGGTCCCTCCACAGCATGAAAAGGAAGACCATCCCACAGCCCTGAGTGGTGGATGTCAAGATGCCTCGTAACACCCATTCACGATTACGCTCTGCCTCCAAGGTCTTGGGACAAGAGCTGAGGGCCTCACCTCCAGGCACTAGTGGATTATTCTTCATAGCGGTGAGGAGGTTCTTGAGACCACCAGGAGCCCTCTTCAGGCCTGTGCCTGCTCGGCCTCCTCCCCACAGCGCTGCACTGCATGCTTTCTCCTGTTCGTGCCACCAAGAGTGAACCTTCACACCCTAGAGGAGGAGCTGGGCGAGTGGGCCGGGATGCCCCGGTGGCCTGACCCAGCTCGGCAGGCCCCAGCATCTCCTATGACACACCAGGCAAACCTGGCCAGGTCACACTCTGTATAGAAGACTTGCCTTCCTTGTCCCATCCTCAGCTCGCCCTTGGAGGACAGGATCCTCCCCATAGCCAGGGTCAGGTCCCACACGTCCACCTGCAGAGGCCACAGTGTGGAAATGTACTGAGGACTCTGGGATCTGGTCCCGACTTCGTGTGACCTTGTGAAGGTCATCTCTTCTCCAGAAAACAAAGGTGTGCAGGGGGTGGAGTGGGGCGGTGAAGCTCTTGGCTTCCTTCAAGCTTGGAATGTATTCAACCAGTCATGATTTCCCATTTTAAACACTCACCTCCAGCAAAAGTTCCTAGCCACCCATTTACTGCCCTGTGCCCCAATACTGGTACGCCAAGTGGGCAAGGCAGCCCAAAGGGAATAGGACGAAAAGCATTAGACATAGTAATCACACAGGGTGTAAGGTGACAGCAGCTCACTTTGTTTTTGTGACAAACTCACTTAAATAGATACTTATTACATTCGTGAAACCTTACAGCTAGGAAGGGCTCAACTCTTAGACAGTCTTCCACTTACAAGATTTGGCATGATTTTTCAACTTTACTATGGTGCAAAACCATTCAGATTCAGAAGAAATCATACTTCAAATTTTCAATTTTGCTCTTCTCCCTGCCTTGGGGGTATGCAGTCCAGTGCTTCCTTGAGGTGCTGGGCAGCAGCATTAAGCTGCAGCTCCCAGCTGGCTACGGGATCATGGGGAAAACCATAGTCCAGAGTGTGCAGTGTTGCTGTGATGTTTGGTAGGTTAGATGTGTTCGTTCAATGTGTTTTCAACTCAATGATAGTTTCAGTTATGATGAGTTTATGGAGTGTAACCCTATCATAAGTTGAAGGGCATCTGGACTTAGGCTGTCATTGCATTTGACAAAGAAAGAACTCTCTACATCCTCTGTACAGTGAAATGTCCTACCCAAGGTCACACAGTGAATAACTGGCAAAATATGCCATTGGTGGGCTCTGAATCTCTACTTGTTCTACTAAATCTTTGTTGGCAGGTGCCTTCGCTTTCCCTCACTCCTTCCCTGAGTTCAAGCTCTTTGCTAAGGACTATAAAGCCACCCAAGAGCAATCCCAAGAGCATCTCTGTCCATACACACTTCTCCTGGTGGACAGTGAGGACACAGCTTTGTGTGTCCCCAGGGAGGCGGCACAGTCTCCTGGGAGGGCAAAAGGAAGCCCTAGCTGGTGGCAACCAACTTCCTGATCTACTGTCCTGCTCCATGGCAGGTAATTAGGAAGCAGAATCACACACAACATAGTCCAGTCTGTTCCCCAAGGGTGTATCTTTGTTGGGACAAAAAGCATGGAGTAGGGGCTGGGGATTTAGCTCAGTGGCAAAAGCGCCTGCCTGGCAAGCGCAAGGTCGTGAGTTCGGTTCCCGGTACCAGAGAAAAACCAAAAAAAAAAAAAAAAAAAAAAAAAAAAAAAAAAAAAAGCATGGAGTAGATCCAGGATCTATTCAAACGCAGGTCTGCGTTAACCAGCCACCCCCTATTTCCCTTCACAGCCTGGCTCAGTCCTCAGCGTGGCTGTCTTAACGCCTGCTCCTGCATGCAGCATGGTCTCTCATGTTCTGTGCACCTGACCCCCAGCACAGCATCCCTTGTCAAAGATCTGGTGAAAATCCCTACCCTTCATGGAGCCTGGTTTGGGTTGTATCTTCCCTCCCTTGAATCAGTTTCCCCAGACACAAGTCATTTTTGCACAAATAAGGCAGAAGCAAGGAGTGTCCTTTGAATTCTCTCCTTAGTGGGAGATTTTTTTCTTTTTCAAGTGAGGCAGCTCAGCAGGAGATGGTGGGCCCACTTTAGTCCATTAGAACAGAGGACTTACTGGCTTTATCTGTTGATGAGAAGACGCATTGGGCCTTTATGGAAGGTCTGTCCTCTGTTCCTGGAGTCCAGTGGGTGCAGAAATGCTAATTGCACCATCCCTGACTTCACCCATACCCACATGCCCTGAAGCCAAGATTCCAGGTGGGAACAATGCCTTGGGAAACACCCCGCTTGTACTACCACTTCTTACCACCAACCCAGGCAGGGCAGGATGCCTCGGTGGAACTGTCTGAATCTCCAGCAATGCTTGCTTCTGCTCCACCCTCCAGTGAGGGCTGCAGAAGGGGAGTCCATGCAGGGAATCCATTGACAGTCCACGATGGATGACTAAGGTAGGCCAGACCTAGACGGGGAGCCTAACCTGAGCATCTCTGAGGACAGTGCCCCACGGGCTCCTGGCTGGAGGAATGTTCCTGACCAGACAGCTTTGCGGACCCGCTGTCTTCTCACATGCTTTGATTTGGGGTACAGGGTTATATCCTCGAGAGGTGGTCAGCACACTGTCAGCCCATTGGCTGGCACTCATCCGAGGATCATAATTAACTGATAACGCTAATACAATGTGAGTTTGTGCTCCATAATAGTCTCCTGCTGACAGATAAATGCTGGGGAACATGATGGCTTTTCCTGAAGCTGTAATAGGTCATTATTGGGACAAGAAGGCTCACATCCTAGTAGCACTGCC